AAAAAGAAAAAGAAAAAATAGAAAAGGAGATAGAGAAAGGGAAAAAATAAAAGAAAAGAAGGAGCTGGTCTCGAATTTGGAAGGACTTCCTTGTTTACCAGAGTCCTTATTGCCTCAGACTCCACTTTTTCTTTTTCTCTGTTTTCTTTCTGTATTCGGGTGGAGCTCCAAATTTCACGGACAATACAATCCATTTTTTTTCATTTTCTTATCTAAGTGTATTTTTCTGGAAGGTCTAGCGTGATTGCTGTGCTCTTGAGCTTCAGAGGTGTGTCAATGTTCCTTTTTCTTCTTCCCAAGCTGTGTTGGTAGTCGAGCATTGTACACATTTCAATTCTTATCGGTGGCGAGTAGCGCAGTATGCAAAAGGTGGTCGACAACTCTAGTGCGGTCGGTTTTTGAGTATGCACTACACAAAGTAAAGAGCTACCAGTTTTTTTTTTTTTTTTTTTTTTTTTTAGTGCACAAGCACGTTGCAGTAGGATGCATTACCGTGGTCCTTGGTTCCAATGATTTTTGTGAATCTTCCACTCAAGGGCAGCAAGAATTGGCGTCAAAGCAGGTCGAGGTTTCAATTGTGGAGCAGCGGAAACTAGGATTGTACGAGGTTGCCAGCAGCTACATTCTTGCGGCAACTCCTGTTCCTCAATGCCATTGGCAGTAGTCAACAGGATGCTGTTCCTACGATTTGTTTTTTCTTCCTTGCATTGGTGATTGTATTGCTGGAGCGGTGGTTTTGGTGTCAACTCGGCCTTCTTGTGGTTGTGTGTGGTGATAGGCTACGGTGCCAATACTACCTTCTTCTTAGTTTAGTGCTAGCGGCAGTGTCGCGGCTTCATTTGATTTGTAAGTGTTCTAGTATGAATTAGATCAGGTTAGTGTCGTTTTGATGGTGCTGATGTGTTCATGATTTTTTCCTCGTACTATCCCTTGCACGATTGTTCTTGAGCACGGCATTGTCAAGCAAGCAACGATCGTGGTTGACATTGCAAGGATTCTCTACAAGTGCGGTATCAGAGAGAGGTCCCGATTCTTGCGGTTCTACGGTTTTTTTTCTCTGTGTTTGGTTGGAGCTCCAAATTTTGCAAACGGCATAGCCGTGTTTTTTCGTTTTGTTTTATCTAAGTGTGCTTTTTGGAAGGTCAAGCGGTGGAATTGCATTGCTGCTAGGTGTTAGAGGGTCCCGTAGATCTACTCATGACATGCAATTTTCCTTCTGCCCTTGTGTGCGTGTATGATTCCAGCACTTGGAGTATAATTTCAGACAGAAGTTATTCAATCTCGCATAGTTTTTGGGTAATTTTGGGTAATTTTGTCTAGGGGGTGGTGATGAAGAAGAAGAGGGCTCATTGCTAGTTGCGAACCCTAGGGTTGTGAAGAGCCAGGATACTCAGCTTGGGTTGTGAGCTTTTGTTCGTTTAATGGTTATTTGCTTCTTGAGTTAAAGTAAGCTGATGCTTTTCGCCTAAAAACTGCAACTCATGTGAGGTGGTGTGCTTCACAAGACGCAATTGTACGGACGAGACTTCTGCAATTGGAGTCTCTCTCTGTGGAGCTCTGACATCTGTAGAAGTGTGTCGATCGACTGTGTCACCAATTCAAATCAGTTGGATAGCGGTTGCTGAATTATTGGCGACGTTCTAAGCCAGCCAGCGTAGTGGGGAGTTATTGAAAGAGGGTTGAGCTGCCGAAGTCTAGAGTGCAGAAAAGCCTTCCAGTTCCAAGTAGAGGTGATGAAGTGGAATTTGTTTCACAGTACGTCAATCAAAGAGTCGACCTCTTCCGACCCAGTGAGGTTCCCAGATGGATGAATTTACATTAAGTTGAGCAGAGTAGATTAAGATGAACATAGTTAAGGTTAAAATAAATTAGGGTTTAAACAATTTAGGGTTTGGACAAGTTAATTTGGATGAATTTGAATCAACTTAGATGAATCTTAATGGATGAATTCTATAGATGAAAACTATTAAAGAGTGGATGAATTTTATTCATGGATGAAAATGTTTATGGATGAATAATTGTTTTAGATAAATTTTAACCTTGGATAATTTTTAAGATAGAAAATAAAATAAATTGAAGTAACATAAAATAAAATCACATTAAAAAATTCCTTTTAAGGTTGAAATTCTTGATAGTTATTTGAAGTAGCTTGCATTGTTGTGGTGGATTGTATGAGTATGAATTAAATTAGTAAGAATATCTAAGTTCTTTAGTAAAAAATAGGGAGAAATTTTATTAAATCATTTTATAAATTAAGTAGTAGTTGTGAATTAGAATAAATCACCCAATAGAGGGATTTATTAAGCTCATAATTAGAGAATTAATAGAATTATTTGACATAATTCAAATGTTAATCAAGAAGTGTTAGATTAATTAGATAATTAAATTGTTATGAATTAGAATAGGCTTTCAACTAGTGGGGATTAATTTTCATTAGTTGACAATATGAAAATATTTTCAATTCTTTTTTACAAAGACAATATCGTGGTGTATATAAAGTTGCAACATGCCAAAGCATGTGCAAAGACGCCTTGAAGAAGTCATTCTTTAACAAAGTGAATTTCAAAAACATCCTTGTAACTTACTTCAAGACCGAGAAGGTAGTCACATTCACAATCAATTGGGACATTGTAGATATGGTTATTGGTGGCATGTTATTCAATATAAATAACAAAGAATCCATATTGACTTGTGAATGGGCATGGTCAATTTTTAAGTTGTTTGAAAATACAAATAATGATCAAATTGAACTCAATAGAGAGCAAGATCTGAACCGCAAAGCATATAAGGTGGATATCCATTTTTCACGGTGTTTTATCTCGTGATTAGCTTTGTCTCACATGAAGCCTCATTCCAAATCGCAACATGTCTTATAGATGTCATAGAGAGCATATTGCACATAGGCTACTTCAATGGGTGTAGTAACAATCATACAACTTTGTTCATAAGGGTGGTTTGTGATGTGAGCTTATAGAAAGTTACTAAGCTCCTCTACATGCAATAGGCATTTTAGCTCTCTCTTGATGTGAGTTAAAAGCAATGCATCTCTTATCTTGACTTTTGAGTCTGATTTGAGTATCAATTGAAGTTGCATAACCTCCACCTTCTTACCATTTTGCTTTTTGATTGTAAGACAGCCAAAGTAATCTTTGCTAGAGATGTAAAACTTTTGAATGTCGTTGCTCCAAAATAGAGGACACAACTAATTGGAATTAACATGGATGGCAAGCGGACAATGTTTGGGCAAATTTTTGGCATTGCGACAAAGATTATTGAGGTGGTTGGTGATGGCGTTGTGCAAGTTTGATGTATTCTGCATCAACTTGATCTTATAGTCTATGCTAAGTATGTCAAGATATATAATGACTAGTTGTCAAGGACATGAATCAGTAAGAACTCAAAGATCAAGACAATCTTGCGTCACTCGAAAAGACTAAAAAATCACTCAAAGATCAAGACAATCTTGTGTCACTTGAAAAGACTAAAAAATCACTCAAAGATGGTGCTATTTTGAACTAGAATGGCTATTGCCAAAAACAAGAAGACTAGAAAGTCTTGAAAGAGGACTAAGGACTAAAAAGGCATTGATAAGAGTGAAGAAGGCTTCACTCTTGCCTCCATATATACTATCTAATTAAGAGCTATGTGGCAATGTCCTATAAGACCTCTAATATGTATTGACTTTGCTAACCACATGTCTTATCTTGCAAGGCAAGTTATCTATGTATGGGCCACATAGTTGGCTTATTCCACAAGCTATTACACGGAGATAACTTGTTCTACAAGCTATCAATACATGGTTAGCTTTTTGGCCAAGTTTCTAACCTACAAACACATCTAAAGTCAAAACTATGTTTATAAAGCTTCTAGGAAGCTTTTCTAAAAGACTTTATGAAATTATTCTATATGTACTTACTTCTACTTAATCATATAAGTAACTATTGAAATAAATATGTATGTTCGTGACACTAGGTTGTCAACATCTAGATAGGTCTTTTTTTTTTTTTTTTTTTTTTTTTTAAACCTTCCTTGGCAATACAATCTCATGAAACAGATAAGTTGTATATGCCCAAATTCATGGACATGCAATAATTATCTATAAAAAAATTGAGTGGATTTTTGTAGCAAGAGGGCACAGTAATCTATGAGTACCTTGTGCAAAAGTTGCTTGCATGTGTTCCTCTTCTTTTTTGGTAGATGATACTACTTATACTCGACAATATTGTAGAGATAATTTCCACTTTTGTGACATGCTTGCAATGACTAAGCACCCTTTTGAATCAATAGAAAGTCCAGCTCAAAGATTTGATTCAATCTTTGGCAAGTTTGTGTAAAGTACAAAGTTCGCATAATGTAGAGACTTTGGCTATGGCTTACAGCGCACCAAATCTAATCATTTGTGGACCTTGGTATATGGCTCTCACTAGTGCAAAGGCTTTTATTTAAGATGAAGGTACCTTTGTGATGAACCTCATGGCTTTGCTGCCCACAACCATGGCCAAGGCCTTAGTTTATAATGTAGCAACCTTGTTTGCTAGGCTTATCAAGGGCATTGGATCCATTGTTGCTCAATATGATTGCAACAATAATGCCAATAATGAAGATATTTTGAAAGTACTACTACACAATTTGTGTGCACTACAGACATATCTATTATACATTTCTATCTCTTGTTACAAGTTGTGGTTGGAATTGGCTAAGTAGAACACTTAATGTACTGAAGATATTGAGAATGACGACCAAGCCATGGTGCATGCCTACAATAAAGAGATGATCTTCAAGGATGTTGTTGACATGTGCTTCGATTTATGAACAAAATCTCATGTTAGATGGACTCATTACAATGGCCAATTTTCACTTCAAATTTTTTGTGGCGGGCTGACCTTTATTTTTTCTAATATAAGCAATGTAGAATCCAACTTCTCTATGATTGGATGAAAGAAGAATGAGTATCAATAATGCCTCATAGACTTCTCATTCAAGAGTATCTTGTACTTTAAACAATTTGATAGAGTTTGTTGATTTTGATGAGGATGGATTTGTTTGGACAGCTTTATAGATGAATTTCATCCATTCCTAATTCACCTAAAATAAAACCTGGCCATGACGATAAAATAAGATAAATTAAGTATTTTAGGGAAAGTCCTAGTTTAAAGAGATCTGGCTGTGCTCCATTTTATGTCAAGAATAAAAAATTTAAAAATAATAAAAAAATAAGGTCATCGGGCGTGCAAGAATCATCCTCTAGCAACGGACAGATGAGCATGGAGTTATTCACAACAAAAGTAACATCCTCATGTTTGTTGCATCTCATGTGGGACTCGTCCCAGCATAGAATAACAAGGGGCTCTGAGACGTTTCCTTGTGTTGCGACAGAGGAAATGGAAAGCAAGCTTTCAGAGGATAATAAAGATGTGATGCTATCAGATTACCGAGTTCCACGCTCAGAAAGTGTGACAACTTTTGACTCTCAGCCTTTCCTCCCCCAGTCTCCGATTTGGCTGCTCACATCGCTGGTTGCCGAAAGTCAAGTCGAACACTTGGTCTTTGGGGTTTGGCAGATTTCGGTCCGCATCGCCAACGGAGCGCGATGTCAGACAAATGGCCGCTTGATCGAAGTTTAATACCCGTCTGTGGGTTGTCAGGTATTGGAGCGCAGATCCGACGCTCCCTGCCATGTGAGAAAGGTCAGTCGCATCAGAGCGAAGGTAGAGCGTCGTGGTGGATCAACTGCTTGAAAACACATTATTATGATGCTGCTGCTTATCAAATGATCGGCCCATGGGGGGGAGGCTTCGATTTCCGAGTAAGTTCGCTCAGTCTGGTCATGAACGTGAGCGCTTGTGGGCCGGGTGCTTTGCGAAAGTTCTTGGGGTTGAATTTTTGAACTCCATTACAACACCGCGTCGTTTCTGCGCTTCAAGCCGCTCGTTTGGGTTCGGTTCGCTGCATGTTAGTTTTTAATGGCGATTCTCGAAAGTCGTCACTCATAACCGGGAGAAACTGAGGGTGTGCGCTTAACTTACCTCCTGTCTAGACTGTTAGATACTGCAACGTTTATTATCGCAATCTGATATCCTCGTGCAAATGAAACCCTCAAGGAATCCGTAAGGAGGTCATGGACACGAAAGCGTGATTTCAAGAGCCATCGAGTTGCTCTCCCCCCTGCAGAGGCACGGTTTGCAGATGGTAGCAAAACTTGACCGCAACAGTCGATCACATCCTCATCCAGGCAAAAACCGCCGCAAAAAGGGTGTGAGAGAGTGGCCACCGAGCTCGAACTCGATCAATCACAAACGATGTAGCTTTCGCATTACGGAATAACCAGGAGGCAGCTTGCTGCGTTCAAGTGCTGGATCACTGGTTAGTTGCGGTCGACGTATCAACTCTAATCGACACGCAACAAAGTCACTGATTTTAGATGTGGGTTTGAGCACGAACAGCAACTCTCACATGGAGTCGGTCCCAGGGGTCTAGATTCGGCCGAGCTTTGAAACTTTAGAGAAGCTATTTGAGTTGGCCCGGCGTCGTCGCCTCCTCGTGACAGAGCCTCTCGCACGAGGTTTCGCGACGCGCTATTCTCAAGGCACCCAACGAAAAGCGAAAGGGGGCTTCCGCACTTGTGCATCTTTTGAGACTTTTTGCTCTTGTGAAAATCTATATTCTTCTTCTCATTCATTTACGCCGTGCAATTTGAACATTCAGTGAGGTTCATTGTCTATACACACACATATATATATATATATATATATAAATAGAGTTGTTTGTTTGTTTAATAAAATGGGGAATAAATTTGAGGACAATTTGGAGTATAATGATGGTTGATTGTTTGTGATATAGATAGAGTTTTATTATTTGTATGTGTATATATTTATTATAGAAGACATCTAAGGTATAACACAAAGAAGTCCACTTACTGGCCATGAAGAAGGGAACTTGGGGAGCATGAGAACATAAGAGCTAAGAAACATGAGAACAAACGAGCGTGAATGGATGTGTCAGAGATTGCAGTGCCCAACAGCACAGGTTTTTGCTAATGTATGAATATATATATATATATATATATATTGTTTGTGCATAGTTTGCATTAACGTAGTTGCTGAAAAGTGTTGAATTAAGGGAAGTGGATTGTAAGTGTTGGAAGTTTAGGAGATAAATGTAAATTTATAATGTTGAATTATATTAAAGTATATTTTTATTGAGGTGATGCTCGTTTTTATTGCAGTTCTAGTTGAGTTGTCTCAGAGATGCTTTCAAAGTACGGTCCAGCGGTTGATTCTGACTTGTACAAGCATGTGTTACAATGGACCATATAGGCATGTCTGTGAGTAAGTATGTGTATGTATGTGTATGTACATATATATATATATATATATAAATTAATACATATCTTTGTAATGATCAGGCTGTCACAATGCAAGTTTATAAAATACATCAAAATCAAATATGTAAAAATCCTCAAATCTCATGAGAACCACCAAAAAATCTTTAAAATATTATGATGTGAAAAAAAATAAAATAATGTAAAACATGTGATGATATTGATACAAATACCAAAATAAAAAAATACCCCTATATGAGTTGAAGTATCACGTTATAAAATAATAGCATTAGAAAATTTGTCACTTTTTTTAATAATATTTATTTTAAATTTTATTATTTCTCTCGTTACATTTACTTTCTATAAAAAGAAAAATTTGGTGTTTATTTTTGGAAAAAATAAACATTTTTTAAATTAAAAAAATGGTGCTTATTTATGTGTATTAATCTGAATTCCTATTCATGTCTTCTTGGTTTCATTCATCAATGTATTCAGCTAAAAATTTCAATAGAATTATTAATTAGTTTTTTTTTTTTTTTTTTTTTTTTTTTTTTAAACTCATTTAAGTGTTTCAATAAACTAGAAAAGTATTGAGGCCAACATCCAAGTTTGACATCAAGAATCATATCCTATAACTTAATATTGTTGTAATGATGCTATTTAAAAATAAATAAAATAGCAATTAATTTTCACCCTATAAGTACTTAGAGCCCCATATTTTTTCCAAAGCGAAGTCCCAATGTTAACATGTGTGTGTGTGTGTGTATATATATATATATATATATGGAATTGTTAAATATATCCATGCATTTACTAAATTGACCCACCCATCATCATTGGTTGAGGATCCAACCATTTTATCATTGGTTTTTGACCCATGCAAATCCAACAATGGATAACATTCTTGATGATGGTTAGGATGGGTGGATAAATTTAATAAATTATTGGGTCAATTTAACAGTTCCCTATATATATATATATATATATATATATAAGTATATATTATACTGATAATAAGTTTTCAATATTAGTTATAAAATTATTTTCATCTTATAGAAATTTTGTGTTATCAACAAGACAATGTGAAAGGAGTCACGTCACTTTATTGTCCAAATACACCAATGCCTTTTTATGATACATAGCTTTTGACCAACACCTCCACATGAGATTTTAATCTTGTATTTTGGATTGTGTGTTGCCACAGTCTCTCTACTTCTTCATTTTTATCCTTTTATCAAGATGCTATAAGCCTTGTGCCACTTGCCTTCTCAGGTCTACAACTACTATTTGACTCAGTGAGCACAGTAAACTATTACATCATTATCTTTACACTCATAAAACTTCACAAGAGACACTAAAAGTTTTTTTTTGGGACAACAGATACATTTTATTTTTTCACACAATGTAATAATCAATAGATTTTTTAAATTACGAGTTGACATCAATTCATTTTAGGTTTTTGGATTTTGATTAAATGTAACAGTTTGTAATGAAACTCAATCTTCAAATTATTACGCATTCAACATCACACAGAAGCGCTGCTCAATGCCGCGACCAACCCCAATACCGCGACGCATCCTGATACCGAAAGAGCGCCTTAATACCGCGAAGCACCCCAAGACCGAAAACAATTACCCTAATGCCGCATACGTTCCAAATACCGAGACACACCCTAATACCGTGAAGCAATTCGCACTTAAGGATCGGAGGCCGCGGAATGAATCGCGAGAGATCGATGCCGCTGTATGGCTCATCGTCGCACAATCGTTGTAGATTGCAGCTTATGACTGTGAACCCAATTGCGATCCAGGGCGAGGAAGAGCGCAAGGCAACGGTTCGGAACAGTGCCGACGCTTCGCCGTTGCTCATCCGTGGATCATCCACGGATTCTGCGCTTGGTTGTGTGGGAATTCGTTGCTGGGGATGGACAGGTGCCGCGTTTCCGCCTCGCAAAAAGGCTGGCTCTATCGCTGGGACACGTCCCCCCCTGGTCCTTTTCGGGGACTCAGTTGCTTGCGTTTACAGCTGGATCTTTGTTTAGGGTCTGGGTTTAGCTCATTTGGTTTCGGGCGGGAGTTAGGTCTCGTGTTAATTTGATTACGAGAGACTCGGATTGTTGGTGTAGATCCGAAGAGATGGGGTTTGTCGCGTGGTGGTATGCGTGGACGCATGCTTTGCTGTACATGTCACCTTATGTGTACTCTGCGATTGGAATTGCGATCTCCATTGGAGTTTCCGTCCTTGGAGCTTCATGGTAATTGTCCCTCAGCTGTTGTGTAGCCTTTGGGTTTGGATCAGTCGTTTCGTGTGCGGAGACAAGTACTGCGCAGATTTTTCGACGTCGAATGAGCGTTGATGGATGCATTAGGTAGGACTTGTGAAGTTGTATCAGGTTGGAACAAATTTGTTGGGAAGATACTACGGTGTTCATTGTACTGGAAACGTGAATCTGTATGGTAACTTGCATGGGGCTGCTTCAATTCATGATTGCCTCCTGTTGGGTTTAGGAGGTGTTGGAGTTTTTCAATGATGTCGTTGGGCTGATCTCCGATGTAATGCATTCCACAGGGGGATCTATATTACTGGGAGCAGTCTTATAGGTGCAGCAATCAAGGCTCCTCGAATTACGTCAAAAAATCTAATCAGGTGAAGTGGACATCTTGAAGTGTCGCGGTCTCTCCTCTGCCCCTTCTTTCCCTCCCCTGACATGGAAGAAATTGGGTGCTGAATCAGCTGGTGGAATCTCTGGCTACTGATCGAGCTTACGGATTTTGCAGTGTGATTTTTTGCGAAGCAGTTGCCATCTATGGTGTTATTGTAGCGATCATACTGCAGACCAAGTTGGAGACAACCAAGGAACCGTTTCACCCTGATTCCATGCGTGCTGGCTACTCATTGTTCGCTTCAGGGGTTATTGTTGGATTTGCAAATTTGCTCTGCGGGTTAGTTATTTTTGAACTTTTTTTTAAACCCTAATTCATAGCTTATCTTGACCAATCTGTTCTGGCTTTTGCCAGTTTGTAGTGCATGTATTTTAAGCTCGTGTTTTCGAAATTGATGAAGTTCCATGTGCTCATAGCAATAAGGAATATACCCGTTTGTTTTTTCGTTTGAATATCATTCAAGTATTGGATTGTGGATGAACTTTTATCTATTTGTTATTCTTGCAGGCTGTGCGTTGGTATCATAGGCAGCAGCTGCGCGCTTTCGGATGCCCAAAACTCCACATTATTCGTCAAGATTCTAGTTATTGAAATCTTTGGGAGTGCCCTAGGTCTATTTGGAGTTATTGTGGGTATCATCATGTCCTCTCAAGCTACATGGCCAGTAGCTGTAGTGGTCTGAAGCCCATCGTGTTTTTGAATTGTTGTTAAAGCTAATTGCTGCAAATGGCGGAGTGACATATCAACATACAAACGTGTAAGAATCTTTACGCCTTTTCACTTTGGGTTGTCATTAATACTTCGTAAAGCAGGCGTTTGATTAGTCCTCTTATCAAGCTCAATATGTGAAGATCCAGTTAGAATGAGAGAAATTATTCCTTTCACCAATTGTCAGATTTGGTGCTCCTTTGCTCGCATTCTCTTACAGGTTTTTGATAGGAATTTTACATTCAACAGATGCCTAATCACCATTGGTGGAATGCATTTTGGCAACGAGGAGGCCTCTAAGAAGAATCCGCCTTTTGTGTGACTGTTATCTGGTGTATTCCACATTCAACAATGAATATTTGGAATGAAATACTGGAAGAACACTGTGTTTCTCTTCTGCAGCACGACTATGTTACTCAGATAGCTTTGATGACTTATTTGAGGCATTTGAATACTGATGTAATCACTGTCTGGAGAGGTTTCAGAAGAGTTTGGAAAGATTATCCATCATCATCAGCATTACCTGATTATAATAATCATGTGTTGTAATCATATCTATCACTAAGGGGCTGCCTATGCCTGCATTTTGACCATTGCTTCTGGAATTGATTTCTGTTCTGTTTTCGTAGAGTTGATATGTATTCCATTCAATTGATAAGAGTGCTGTTCTCACCGGACATGAGATACGATAGCCTCATCGTGTTGATGTTCAGGATAGTTGGATCATGTGTCAATAATTACCTCGCTCCAGGCTTTGATGACATTTGTCCTCCAAGCTGGTTTTCAATTGTTGTTGTTTCTCGACTCTGCAAAGAGTTGCAAGTATAGTAGGATTGTGCGAGACATCTTGGGAACCAAGACATTCAGGAACGCTTGGAAATCAAGTTCATTGTGACGTTGTAATGATGTTACTTTCAACGAAGACATGAATACCAGTAGATAATTAGTTTTGGCGGCTCTTATACTGCACTTTTCATGGTCGTTTTTCTGTGTGAAAGCACGAAGTAACATGGAACGATGTATTGAGTTTCTCCAAACTAGGAAGAAAGCTTCAGGTACTATCGCTTCCTTCCAACGGTATCCTCTCAGTTCTCGTCTTCCTCGCTAATGTTGCTTCGATCTCTCTATTAATGAGTATAGAACTTGGCTTCTGACTTCGCTGACCCTTGTGCACTCTGCTCAAGAACCACTTTTAAGGAATGCAATTGAACAATCTTCCGCAATCCATTCGCTCATCAGGAAGTCTGAGCATACGCTATCCAACGATGACTTCAATAACTTTTCCTGATTCCGCAACGAAACCTGAGTTGGCTCTCTATTCATCGTCGGGACTCAGTGCATTATATCAATACATAATCATCCCTATGTGAACATTGATCAAGCACACCCTCTTAGACTCTCTTGGATTCTAATTCCATTCAAGCTGGTGGGTTCTGCTTGCCTATCCACGCCTGAGACACACAAGTCCACCAAGGTTAGCATGCGAAGGGCGTGATGAGCACTGACCATGGACGTGTTTTCAAGACTGCATGATTCATGTAACCCTTGCGAAGTGCTTGAGCAACGAGATTTTACAGCTCCTGACATCTGTGGTCACTTAGTCTCTTAGGTCACTTGAGATCATGTATAAATTTAATACATATGAAATATATTATTACTCTTGTTTGTGTAAATTCTACACTGTATCATAGATCAACTCAAAGTTATTTATTAGAATCTATTTTATTTTGTTAAAGAGTAGAATAGAAATATTATATTCAATAATCTATTTGCTAAAAGAACATAATAGAAATAGTTATAATGTTAAGCTTTAATAATCTTCTATAGGTTGGTGAGGCCAATAAATTGATTGGTGAAGATAAATTCTAAATTTAGAATCTAATAATGAAAAAACTGATAAAAACTTACTATTCTAAAACTAATACTTGTAACATATCCATATACATACAATAGATGCATGTTGATAGATGTTCAATTTTGCAATATGAAAGCAAAAGCAATAAAGTTTATATCTTTTGCTATAAAAGACTATCTTTTGGATTTGATGATTGAACACTAGGATTCAATGGACACATGGAGAACATTGAAAGATAAGTACAAGAATGGAATCCTTGCTATGGTGATAAATCCCAATTATAAACTCTTAACATTTGAGTCTCAAAAATTCACTTCAATGGAGGAGTTCTTGATAATGGCTTGTGAAATTAAGAAACAATTGGCTATACTTGGTCAGACCGCTCTTGCCAAAACTTTTGTACAAATAATTTTTAATCAATTACATCCTACTTTCAATACTCCAATATACAACCTCAAAGATATTGATTAGTTTCTTAGTTTTGAAAAAATATTATGTAGATTAATAGTTGAAGCACACATATTTCAATTCAGAGAAAATATCAATGACAATCTTAAGAGTGAAGCTTTAGTAGTACAAACATCTAGAACAAATTATAATTCTAAAAATATAACAAATAGAGAGAATTACTTATGTTGTAAAGATAGGCATACTTTCTCAAGACTAGACAAAAGATTTGTTGTAAGTTATATAAACAAATATTATGCAGTTCAAAAAATATCTCAATAGAAAGTAGACATGCATATCTTATAGAATCTCAAGGACATGAGATGATCCAAAATTCACTATTTCAAAGGTGGATAGGAAAGATTAGTTATTTATGTTGATGCTGACTAAAGACGAGATATAAATTCACACAAATCTACATCAAGGCTCATGTATATGGTTAAAAGTTGCAACTTAAGTAGAGCTCAAAGCTACAAAGTATAATTACACTATCCATAACTAAAGCTAAATATTGAGTATTATTTAAACTTATAATTAAAAGATGATCTATTTAATCTTTTAAAGGTAATTACAATAGTCAAATGGAGCTTGAGTCTTGACATTGTCTTGACATTGTAATTCCTTAATAGTTTGTATAGACTTTAAGGAATTACATTTTTAATAAGAAAAAATCTATCTTTTAAATTTATTTGAAATGAGACAAATTTCTTATAAAAAATAATGGCTAGAGTTGCTTAAATAAACAACAATACAATTTGAATATGAATTATATTCTTGGAGAAGCACATAATTATTGCTTGCTTTATTAGAGAGAAATTTCTAACAATCTAATTGAATCAATTGCTTATTATATTAAAATAATAAATAAATACTATAATAATAATTTAATAAAGTTATTTTATTTTAGGATAAAATTTAATAATATATTGCATAGAGTCTTGATTCAATTTTCTTTTTAGAGTCCATTAGAAATTGATGTCTTTTATATAATGAAAACTTAATCTTGACTCTAATATTTAATAGAATCCCATAACAACCAAGGGGGTAGAAACCATGAAAATATTAATGTAGATCACACTAAAAGTCCTTTTTGAGGATTTTTATAAGAATACTTTACAAGTAGCAACTTCTTTTAAAGAAATAATTCTAGATTCAACTAATGAGGCCAATGATTCTTCAAAACCTTGATTTTGTATAGTTCTTTTGATTGAAACAAAGCTGTAAGGTAATAATTTTGATTAAAATTCTATCATTTTGAAAATAAAATTAATTTTAATAGATTATTACAATCTTCTAATTTGATGTTGGTTTTGAGTAGCCACAAATTATAGAGCGAAGGATTGTAATTCCTTAAAAAAAGCCAAATGCACAACAAACCATAATGAAATAGATTACAATCAAAGTTACAGGCAAATCTTACATACATAATGAATTCATCAAGAAATCTTTCAAAAAATATAGCAATTGCAAGAAGGCACAGAAAAAAGTGATATTGCACATTGCAAATGTGATATTTCCAGACGCACTCCGAACCTGGCTTGTGCTTCGGTCAATCACTACGTCCAGAATCACGTCGACTCCAAAACTTGTGCTCACAAATCTTCACTTAAACTTGGCCCGCAATGATCTCCAACTAACAAACTACTAGAGGACGGCAGATTGGTACTGAGAAGTTGATGGGTAGCCAGAGCACAAAAAAAAAGAAGAAGATTGTCTCTAAATGAAGTAAGTGAGCGAGACTTGCATTACCCCTCGCAACAGAGCCAACAGCGACACTCCGCACCTTCCATCTCCCGCAGCGGCTGTCAAAATCCATGCAGTAAGTCAACAAACCTCCTTGAGGCTACTCCTGCTCAGCGCGCATCTCCCTGCGGAGAGCACAATCCCTAGTTAGCATCCTGTACATTCATCCTGCGACAGAACTTGTGTCGGTGCATCGCGGAAGTTTCTCTCATCACCACGTGTCGTGCACTGCATGCACTTTTTGTAATGCACATCCGTTTTCTTTGTTTTCACGTACTGGTTGGGAATTTTCCTAAGTTGAGTGTCCGCATCAGTGAATTTCAGTGATGTGCCAAATGCGATCTCAGTAAGAATTCTCCAGTTGATGAGGAGATATCCGTCTTTGACTTAATCGATGCCTTGTTTGAAGCCCTCTCCATCCGTGGTGATTCCGTCGGTCGCTGGTTCTCGTTCACCGTCGTCATGTGCATCTCAGGAAGTCCTTTGAGATTACCGGAACTGCTTCGTCCTCATTCACCGGTGGAATTTGTCTGTGTGCGTCAAACCCTTGACCAGGAACTCCTTTTGCTGAAGACTGTGAAGTCTCAAACGGAGAGGTGGTGCCCAACAAGTGGGTGTGGAAGAACAGATCGGCGTGGAAGACAAACGCTTGAGATCTTTTGTAATGAATTTCAAAGTATTTTATCCCCTGCTTTTTTGATAAGAAAAACGACACTGTATATAGGGGAATGTTAAATGGACCCAAGTTTTTATTAAATCAATTCACCCATCATTAAAAAAAAAAAATGACCTCTAGATTCATTTCCCCACTATTGAATCTATAACCAATAAAAATCAACCACATTCATAATGATTACCATATTCTTCATCAAGGATGGATCTATTTAATAAAAGCATAGGTCTATTTAACATTCTTCCATATAGGTATATATAGATATATTTTAGAAAGAGGTCATTTTGACATTTGGTATTCTCTATGCAAAGGAAATAATACACATTCTTCATGAACTTCAAGGATAACATTTATATGAGATATCCCCTTCAAAACATCTCTAGCTATACATTTCACTATGACATTTTAAATATTTTTTGTTTTCTTAACTTTTTAAATTATAGATGTTTTATATGATTTTTTTAGCTAGATAAATTACCATAAAATTATCTATCCTATAATACTAAAAGAAAAAAAAATACAGTAATCGAATTTGTAGTTAAATGGTACTCCAATATAGACATGCAATTGATATTTTTAATTTGAAATTCAAAAAATTAAATGTATCTAAATGATTGGTATTGAAACAAAATATTGCTTATAAAGTATGATTATTTACAAGAAGATAAAGCCATGGAAGAAATTAATATAGATTTGTTATACTTCAGGATTTAAAAAAAAAAATGAAATCATAGATATTTAGGAAGTTGCCTTCTTCAATTTAGAGATGCATTTTAATTTTGAGATTTTTGAGATTGCTTTAAAGGTTTTGTTGGACTTGGATTTAGTCACAATCTTGTCTCATCTAAACTTAGATTAGAGGATTTTAGGGCACAAA